GCGGTCATTGCAGCTAAATACATCGGCCAAAGGGTCCACCCTTTGCTTCATTTTGGGGGCATCCGGTGTACTCTTTTTCCCTCGCTAGGATTTTTTCCCACTGGGTTTTTCCTAGTGAGGTTTTTAACGAGGCACCTCCCCATTGTGGACAAAAGGCGACGACCCTCAGTCCCTGGAGGAGTCATTACGAGGCATTCACTACTCTACTCCTTTCCATCTCGCCAAAGCTCGCCTCAAACAATGAAGAATTTCAAGAATAAGAAAGGAATCAAATTACCTCTTTCGTTGAACCTGGTCAACTCAAGAGAGTAGGTGGGTCGTGATGGTACCATGGATCATTACCATGGCCCAAGATTGAATTAAGGCAAAGCCCATCTACGGGATCAGCCCATCAACGGGATCAGCCCTTCACGAGATTAATATTAATGAGCCGTTGGGCCTAACTAGGGATCCAATCCACGAAAGGAACCCACAACCAGGCTAGGCTGGACAGCAGACCTCGAGCCTGAGCGGAGTTCTAGTGAGGCTATGTTGTATCTCACTTTTCTCAGATATCTTCGAATGAATAAATACATAGCTATTTATTTATTCCATGTGTAGGATGGACCTTCCAATTGACACTGATATACCATGCCAGAAACCACTACATGTTGATGGTGATCTTTGGTTGAATTTAGGTCTTAGTGGACTTCCTTATTCTTGCAGTTTCTTCTGCCATGATTGATTAGGTTATGTTCTCTGCAGGATTTAGTTCTCTATTCATCTACAAGAGACTATACCGGTGCTATAGTACTCTGAATGATTTTGGTTATGATAATGGAAACATGGGAAGGTCAACCAACCTCTCTTTGGAACAGATTCAGGATAAATATGACGGACAGAAACCCGTATCACATTTTTCGACACCTTGGGTATTATTACTTATTTCACAATGAAAATTTAGAATGTTAAATTAATAGCATAAATTTATATTTTTGAAAGAGAAAATATACATTCATGATCTTAGATAATACTTATTTAATTTTCATGACATATACACTACATATATAAGTTTATGGTACTTACGTCACACTCCTTCAAAATTTAGGTCGTGTAGGGTATTTTCATTATTTTTACCTAGTATAATAGTAAGAGATTAAAGTATATATACAAGTGTTTCACTTAATTAAAGCATAAATATATACTTCCTCCATTCCATAAAAGTTGCAACATTGGAATTTATGCACTATTCACACACCTTACTTTGACTACGATTTTCTAATAATATATATAATAAAAATATTATGTATAAAATAATAATAAATTTGTATTAATGTAAGTTTCCAATATATTAACTTTTTTAATGTTTACTAATACGTAAAAAAAAATTACAGTCAAAGTTGCGCGTTGGCAAACATGAAAGTCAAACTGTTGCAACTTTTATGGAACAGATGATAGTATTAAATGTCAACATCTTACAAATCATAATAGATCTAGTATCGAATATTAACTTTTTGGAATTAAGAATTAAGAACTAAGAAATATATTATAATTAATTATTAATAAATAAAATAACATAATTTGAAAACTTCAGTTTGTTCACTTCGGTTTGGTTTTTAGGGGTGAAAACAAAAACCAAACAATCACGGTTCCTTTTTTGAGTTCGGTTTTAGTTCACTAGTACAAAAAAAACTTTTCACATCGGTCAAAAAAGGTTTTTCACATCAGTTGTGTGACCGATGTGGTTACAGCTCATGTGAAAAGTAGAGACTTTTCACATCGGTTCTATAACCGATGTGAAAATTCTTTCTACATCATTTGTGCAGTAACCGATCCAGAAGATTGTCCAAAACGGTGTTTTAAATGATGTTCCACATCGGTTATAACCGATGTGAAAGAATTTACATCGGGTCAAAAATAACCCATGTAGAAAAACTTCATTTTTTTCCGGAACATAGGGTTTTTCACATTAGTTATAACGCAAGTGGAAAAGCTTTCACATCGGTTATTTTATCAACCGGTGTCGAAATTTCCAGAAAAATATTGCAATCTAACCCCCATTTTTACTATAATCACATCAATATGACCCCCAACCATTTTTACACTTGTTCACTTGATCAATTTAAAACAACAACACAAACTATTTTTCAATTCTTCAACAAATGCTAAACAACTTTAAGTAACAATTTAGTACATAATAATAAGCTAAAATCAAACAATTCTTGCACGAGTCTAGAGTAATAACACATTGTCTAAAGTTACAAGTCTCATAATCACTCAAAAAATTAAACCAAGACGTTCATCATTTGTCTTTGATGGAATGTGCCATTTCTAAGAAATATGATGCTCAACGAGGTCGTACTTCATCAATCTCTTTTGACGAGAATGATTCCGGATTGGCGAATCGCTGCAAATAAAAAAAAGATTATTAAAAAACATTACATGGAGTAAATCCTATTGAATGTAAATAAAATAATAATGTGCCTGACGTGCATTTTGTCGTAATGTGCACTCAAAATAAATACAATACAACAAATATACATAATATATTGAAGTAAGGTTCGTATCCACAGGGAAAGGAATATATATCTTTTATGTAACAAGTAACAAGGGGGGATTTTATGATTGTTGATAAATTTAAATGTATTTAAGCACTAAGATGAACGACTTATGTGGTTTACTTTAATAGAGATGAAGATTTGGTTTTGCTTTTATCCACTTAATGAAATGTTCGTCGATCCCGGTTATATCTTTAACTATCTTCCTCTCGAATACTCAATCGAGGAGTATATCCAGTTCATCGAGGGTAGTTATTAATAACGAGACGCGTTCATTAATAAAACTTACTACCGAGTTAATATAGAACACACATCGTATATCAACCCGGTAGTAGCAATAAAATCAAGATGAAAACGATTGAGATTGATAACTTCAACACAAGCGGTTTATTGGTTTAATCAACATAATTAATTCCCCTTAGATTATTAACAATGAGACGCATGCATTAATAATCTAAGTTTACTACCGTGAATGAACCGAATTAATAACAAGCGTATTAATCGATCGATTCTAGTAATAATTAATATATGAAACAAAACTTGTTGATCCCTTAAGTAATGTTCACAATATTAATATGAAATATGAATAGGAATCAATATATATATATATATATATATATATATATATATATATATATATATATATATATATATATATATATATATATATATATATAAGAGGAACTTTTTAAGAGCATACAAAGCACCACATAATCCTGCCATGTCATTATATATAACAATTATTTACTTATTTGTATACCTTTTATTTTTATTAGATTCTATTTTTGATTGCATATTGATATGGAAACAAAAATCCTTATAAATCCACCTTAATTAATTTGGTAAGCTTCAAATAAGTAAAATAATTTTTTATTATCAAAGTCAAATTCTAATAACGTTTATTGATATGGAAACTAATTTATATTAGTTTACTACACCGAATTAAATAGAAACAAATATGCAAATTAGTTTACTTATTAATTTGACACCTATTAATAAATTAGTAAGCTTCAAATAAGTAAATAATAAAAAATTAAATTAAAAATTATAACCAACATAAAGTATATATATTTTCACAAGTAAATATGTTTAGCTTAGCCAAATAAGTAAAATTTTTTGTTGTTTCTTTATTTTACACCTAAAATTCAAATATGCCTTCACTTTTGAAATAGATTCCTAATCCAAATTAGAAAATCTTTATAGGTTTACGAATTCCTACTTTTATTTTAATAGAATGTTTTTAATTGGATTGATTTCAGTTCCAAATTAAATCAGATCATATCAAACTTTAATAATTATAACAATAAGTCACATAAAAAAAGACATCTAATAGACCATATTAATTCATACCAAATCAAACCCAAAATTTTAATTCAATTAAAAACATTATTATTAATGAGTAAACTGTAAGATCTAACAATTAAGAAATATAGAATTTTTTTATTATTGGGTTCATAACAATTATGTTTACTTGAGATGCTTATGTAGAAGACCAATTTAACTTTTTTTCATATATTTTTTTCTTTGTTTCACAAATGGAATATATTTCACATATATTTTTCATGATTCAGAAGATTCCACCTATTTAACCAGAATTCAATCAATTTCAACAAAATAAGTTAATTCTATTTATTTTAGTATTATCAAACAAACTCTATATTAGACTAAGTTTATTTTTCTTTTAAACCACATTATATGTGATCCGATAGAAATTAAATTTCAAATTAGCTAAATTACATACTGCCGTGCACCGCACGGGCTTGAAAGCTAGCTAATTAATACTCAAGGAAGAATATTAAAGAAGATGAATCCTACTATTGTTAATATCAAGATGTTAACTAATTATCATCTTAGTAACACTCCCCAATATTAACATAGAGGAAGAAATAACTATTACTATAACTAATGTCAAGATGTCAACTAATTGTCATCTTAGTAACACTCCCCAACATTGATATAGAAATAGTATTTAAAGGAAGAATGAATATTCAAGGAAGAAAATTAAAGAGAATAACTCACAACTTACAAATTCATTAAGCTTCAAAGTAGCAAAACCAAGATGGAAGAGTTTAGCTCCTCATTTGGAGACTAAACATGATGAGAATATAAAGAAAGAACTTATCTAGACTGAGATTAGAAGTATAAAGGAATTGGTGGTTTTTTTGTGAGAAGGAAAGGGATGTATTTATATGGAAATGGAGTATGCAGGGGTGTGTACCCGATCGGGTATAGAAGGCTCCCGATCGAGTACACTCAGAAGCTTCCCGGAAGCTAAAAACGTCATGCATACCCGACCGCCGGGTGTGTTGGCTACCCGATCGGGTATGACACTTGAACATGGCCAAAATCTTCCCCGCGTGTTGCTTTGTTCCTGGATTGATCCGATTTGATTTTTCAACTGGGTAACTGATCGGGTATAGGTCATACCCGACCGGGTACAACACAAAAATTCAAGATCTTTATTTTTTGTCTTGAGATTTTACACCTTCCTTCCACTTTTGATGTTCACCAATGGTCCCTAGAGTGATCTTGGACCTGTTTGAGCTCAGAATACATCTTATCTAAACAAATTAAAAATATTTTACAAACTAAACTATTACATCAAAAGTGTGTAATTTCCAAAGCAAAAACCAATCAAAACTAATTAAAAACACAAACATAAACATGGAAATTACGTGAATGTCAACTCCCCCACACTTAGTTTCTTTGCTCGACCTCGAGTAAAACCAAATGTTTGTACAATGTTCAACCAAAGATCATAATTTTCAAGAATAGTAAGAAAGAACACAAGACCACCAAGGTTGTAAATGAGTTCATAAAACAACATTTTCTTGGGTTTGTTGGTCCTCTATGCTCTTTGTTTCTTCTTCTCTTGCTTCTTCTTCTTCTTTTTCTTCTTTTTCTCTTCTCCAAGAGATGATGTCCTGCAAAAAAACATATATTTCTCTCATATCTCTCATTTTGCCTAGGAGCCTTTTCAGGTTTTCATCCTAGCATCTCTTTTCTTTTTCTTTCCTCACCACTCACTCATCATTTTTTTTGTAAGCCCTTCTTGCTTAGATTGCCCATTTTTTGGGGTTTTCAACCTAACTAGCATTTCATTTCTTTTATTTATGTTTTTTTTGTGTACAACTAGTACAAGAAAGTAATGCTTAGTATAAAGTAAAAATCAAAGGGCATGTAACATACCAAGAGATGAATCTTCTTCCCCCACACTTGAATCATGGCACTATCCCTAGTGCCCGCCGGGACCGCCATAAAACCCGCCTCCAAAGCCTTCATTGGTGCCTCCTTCATTGCCCCCTTCACCCATGGTAGTGTCGCCTCCCATCCCGCCATCATAGCCCCCACCACCGGAACTCGAACCTCCAAAGTTACCCCATTGAGAGGGGTCATACCAAGACGGTGGTGGAGGAGGAGTGGCCATAGAAGAGAAATTCCCGTGATGGGCCACATATGAGTACATAGGACCATAAGTCCAATGATAGTCTTTTTCATAGCGGTGGAGGTCGGCTTGCCGTAGCTCCTCCATTCTTTGGAATCCCGCCCGTTGCTCTTCTCGAATTTGTGTGAGTTGCTCACCCATGTTTGTGTAGTTGAGGTTCATTGTGTTGAACCCGGCAAGTAATGCTTGTTGGCCCTTCAATATTTGTTGAAAGTAGTCGGTTGTTGGAGGGTTGTGAGGAGGATTGGGGATGTCATGTGGAGCATATTCTTGGGCTTCTTGATGCTTGGGTTGGTCGGATTGGTCCGGTTGGGCTTGAAGGTGTGGTGGAATGGCATTAGGAAGTAAATAGTGGGTGATTTCAAAGCTTGCTATTTTATACCTAAGTTTAGGTATTTCTTTGGAGGGGATGGGGAAATAGATGGTTGGTTTGGGTAGGATATGCCACTTGTAGTGGTTTCTCCCGTTGTGGTCTTTATGGGCAAAAGAGATGCATCCCGCGTTTGCAAGCCAACCTATATGCATCACGGCTATTGGTTCATTATCCACATAGCCGAATTTGGAGGCCAAGTGCATAATGACTCCCCCGACAACAATATTTCCTGTCTTCTTGCAAGCATTGTCTAAATGGTCCCACTTTAGGTTGCAAAGATTGAATTGCACGGGTATTTGAAAGAGGGCTAGGGTGAGGATGGCCACGTCCCCCATCCGAGTGTGGTGGTTGTTGGGGCGACCGAGCAAACAATTGGCCAAAAACTTTAGGAAAATTCGGAGAATAGGATGTTGAACGTGACTAATGGATATTTTAGACACGCTCACATTCAATTCTCCGGTCATTTTAGCCCATAAAGTATGGCCATTGATTGTATTTTCCGGTATACCCCTCTCATGGGCCACGGGGATGCCAAAATGTTGGGCAAACTCACGTCTCATTATTGTGTATTCATTGTTGAACAAACAAAAAATGAGTGTGTCGTTATTGAACTCCTCCTCTTCCTCACGTTCAACAAACTTGGCGGAGCTCAAGAATTCATATATCACCCTCTCATTACAATTATACTTCATATCAAAAATCAAGTTCATATTCAACACATGAAATAAATTTCTCATTCTTTACAACAATCCTAGAGCAGTAAGCGCTTCATGACAAAAGAATCGAGAGGGGATTACTTGCCTTTTTAGTTGAGCCAAAAAACGTTGCCTTTGATTTCCCGGGCCGAAACGGACATCCTCGTAATCTGGAATTGGTCCCCTTGAAGTGGAACTCTCAGTCCTATCTCTTTTGGGTGCCATGGAAGTGCCTTTTGAAGCTTTGAATTCGGACTTGGGTGAGGGTGTTAGGGTTTCGGGTTTTGTGGAATATGGGGAGAGAGTGGGATTTGTGGGTATGAGGTTGTAGAGGGAAGTGAGGGGAGTGTTTTGGCGTTTGTTTGGGGTGATTTGGGCAAGAATTGATGGAGAAATTGAAGAAAGAAGGTTTGGGAATGGAGGTTTTGGGAGATGATTTCGAAAATTGGGAGTTGATTTGGGGAAGATGAGTGTTTGGGGCATGGAATTGGGGTTAAAAAGTCGAGTACCCGATCGGGTACCCCGACATACCCGATCAGGTATGGCTGTATTTGTTCAAAATCCGGTGCCCTACCCGATCGAGTTGGGGTATACTCGATCGGGCGTTTTGGTGCGAAGTTTATTCCAGAAAAACTTTTAATATACCCGGCCGGGTATAGGACCTCACCCGATCGGGTAATTTGCTGCGAAGTAAATTGCCCCTTTTTCCAAAATTCATCCGACCGGGTGTAAGGACCAGCCCGATTAGGTATCATGTTAATTTTTCAAAAACTCTCCAGGGGTCATTAACCTGATCGAATGGGGAAGGTACTCGGTCAGGCATTTTGCTTCGAGGTGAATCGAGAAATTGTTTTTAGAGGTACCCGACCGGGTGATTATTAGTACCCGATCGGGTACCACTATATTTTCAACTCCGATTTCGATCGCGTATAGGGGTACCCGATCCAACCTTTTTCACTTTACGCTGAAATCCGACCGTGTAGGGGGAGTAGTCCGATCGGGTACCATGCCCTGGGCCATTTTTTTTTAAAATGTTCACTCTCTAACTGATCTCTCAAACAATTATGAAACATGAAATTTAAATTCGAAATAACAAAACTTGGGTTGCCTCCCAAGAAGCGCCTTATTTAACGTCGTGGCACGACGTTATTTTTATTTTATTTTCTGATTTAAGTGGGATCATGAACATCCCCCTTTTCCGTCTTCAAGGCCCTGTTTGGGCATGTTTCAATTTTATTTTTCGGCCTTTTCAAGTAAGGCTGAACTTTTGTTCTTGTCATCACCTCAACCGTAGGTGGATTTAGTTCACAATTCAACAATTCTCCTCCAACCAAAGATGACTCCCTATGCTCAATTTCCTCCCTTTCTTGAAAAATTAGGATTTTATCAGATTCCTTCAAAATTACCGGTCTTTTTGGTTCAAAAACATACAAAGAGCAAAGAGATTGATCTTTGATTTGTTTTTTCGTAGAGTCAAAGATATTGAACTCTACTTTTTGGTTATTGAATTCTAAGGTTAATGAACCACTAGACACATCAATTTTAGTGTTTGCGGTCTTTAAGAAGGGTCTACCCAACAGGATGAGTGTTGTATGATCATCATTTCCCATTTCGCCGGCCTAGGTCATCCTATTGTTTGGTGTCGTGGCCTCGCGGGTAGAAGAAGACTATGCGACGGTTGTGCGTAGAGGAGGATTCAAGGGTTTTTTTGTGTAGAAGAAAGCTGACGGGCGAATGTTTGGAAAAGGATGTGATTAATTCTCTCAAGTGCTAGGGTTCTATGAATGAAGAGAGAAAGAGTGATGTTAAAGTTGATTAAGAGACCAGAAAAAAAATTAGGTGTTAAACTATGATAAAATAATGTTAAAAGAAAATAAAATAGGGTGTTAACGTCACTATCTTATATTGATATTATTGTGTCAGAAACTAATGACACATATACATCGTAAAAAAGATATGTCGTATTTTCATGACACTTTATTAAAAAGTGTCACTAACAAAGTGTCACTATAAGCCTGTTTTCTACTAGTGCTTGTACACACCGTACCGCCCGTCACACTATGGGAGCTGGCCATCCCCGAAGTCATTATCTTAACCGCAAGGAGGGGATGCTGAAGGCAAGATTAGTGACCGGAGTGAAGTCGTAACTAGTTAGCCGTACTGGAAGGTGCGGCTAGATCACCTCCTTTTCAAGGAGAGCTAATGCTTGTTGAGTATTTTGGTTTGACATCGGACGGTGAAGTTAGACCAAGCTCATGAGCTCATTATCCTATGTCGGAACTAATTTAAAGGAATCCCTAGGTCCTCATGCCCCCTCCCTCGTGTGGTGGCATAGGGGTCAAAAATAAATAAAAAGTGGATGGGGTTTATCTCGCATTTATAATAGTGAGCCTCCGGTGGGAGGCTCGCGCGATGATGGACTATTAGCTCAGAGGTAGACCGCGCCCCTCATAATTGTGTCGTTGTGCCTAGGCGGTGAAGGCTCTCAGCCATAAAGAATTTCCTAATCATATTTGAAAATCTGTTTATGATTTAGAAGTGTTCTATTGAGGATTTCAAATTGTGGAGGTCAATTGCAATTGCGGCCGCAACATTAGTGTTGTTGGTTGCATCACAACCGCAACAAACCGTAGTTGATGTGACAAATGAAATCAAATTAAGAACTCCAATGAACACACATCACATCAGACGATCGACAACACATCCCGAATATAATTTTAGCTATTTCTTCTCTGAAATGTATTATATTTCATGTTTATGCATCTTATTTTGAAACTATTTACTTTAGTGTGAAACATAGCATTCTTTTAAACTTATTTAATTGAGAATGAATTTAAAATAGAAAGTATATTGCTCCTACTTGTATAGTCCATTAATAATACATACGTAGTACTACATGATTAAAAAATAGGGAATTTATCACAAATAAACTAAAACTGAAAATAATATCAAATTTGTCACGTTGAGAAGTTATTTTCAAAACTAAACTCATAAGTTTTTTCTTTTCAATATTAGACCTTGAGTCTTAATGCTCCCAAGGAAGTAACGGGTTGCTGACGGAACAATGTAAATGAGCCCATATGCTAACTATTTGCTAACTTTATGCTCTAATAGCACTTACGAATCCAACAATTTAAAAATGGGAGAATACAAGTGCAAAAATGATATAACAATGCAAAGAACAATTAAACAAAATTATATATTCTTGAAATTAAAATAATAATTTAAATTTGAAAAAGGTAATAAAATACAATAAATGTTTAAATTTTATAGAAGTTGAAAAATATGAAATATTTATTCATTTTTGAAACATCTACAAATGCTTAAAATTTATAAAAGTTGAAAAATAAAATAAATGCTTATTCAAATTTGAAACCAAGTTGAAAAAGTAACCTACTTTTTTTAAAACAAACATAAATGAGATAAAAATGTTTTAAAACTATATAAAAATATAAAAAGTAATTGCAAAGTATTATGAAAGACTAAATTTATTGAAATTGGTATACATAAAGTAAAAAAATCTAAAATTATAAATAAATATACAAAATTTGAAAACATTCAAAAATACCAAATCAATACTTCCTCAGCTCTTAAATAAGTGCAATGGTCAATTTTTTACGTTTGTCAACGCAAAAAATTTGGCGATTTGTATATTTATTGCTCTATTATTAAACAAAACTTAAAACTTCATATTTTGAAAATTTACGATAAGGCAAATTTAACAACATTTTTATAAGAATAATTTAATAATACATTAATAAATAAAACATAGTCAAAGTATAACATGTGAAAAGTTTAATATACAAAATAATATTCTTAAAATTTATAAAAATATTATAAATATTGAAATAAACTAAAACTTGTGTAAATTGTAGAAATTGAAAATAAAAATATATGAAAAATAAAGAAAATATAAAAACAATTGAAAATATGAAAATTGAAAATATATAATTTTTTGTAATATAATATTTTAAAAATATATAACCAATTTATTTATTATTGTTTGTTGCATATTGTTTCTTTGTGTTTCCTATGTTGATAACTTTAATTATTTTTGTTTTCTATTGTTTTTTATTGTTTTTTCACGTTTCCTTTTGTTATTCGTAATCGAAATTTATCAATTTAGATATTTCTTATATACCTATATCTGATTTTTTATTCCAAATTACAAACGAATATAAATATAAAAATAAATGGATAACAAAAATTAAAATCAATAATAAAGAACAATAAGCAACATGATACAACAACATGCAACATGATGCAACAAAATGTAACACGATGCAACAAAAAGCAACACATGCGATACAACAAATAGAAAAAAATATATATATACAAATATCACAAAATACATATTATTATTATCAAATACATATATACAAATATCACAAAATACATATTAAACCTAAATATTAAACAACAAAAAAGCGAAATCAACAATAAACAACAATGAGCAACACATTGCAACAAAAAGCAACACGATACAACAAAAAGAAACACAATGCAACAAAAAGTAACATATCCGATACAACAAAAAGAAACAAAAAAACATAAAATTGTATCACTTTTAATATATAATTCAATCGATTATTTAATTTATTACATCTATCTATTGTATTAGTTGGCTTTGCTTGGTCACTCTCTTCTTCATTGGATGCATCTTAATGCGGATCCATCAAGTTTGTCTCTTGTGTCCTCATTTCCTATTTAAGTTTTTTTTTGAAATAAAAAGGAGTACAATGCGTGAAGGAAAACTAAAATAAAAGTACATGAAAGAAAAGAAGGAAAAGAACTAAAAGAACGAGAAACAAAAACTAAAAGAAAAAAGAGCTAATCGCATGGGAAATCTCTAGATTGCGACCTAGTTTTCATGTTGTGGCGCCTTTTATTCTTTTGAGATTTTCTGTAGATTTTGAGTTGCGTGTTCAGGTTGTCGGTTGGCAGGCAATTTTTTGAGGTTATGAAATTAGCTTTGTTGCAGCTCCCAGTATTGAATTTGGATTTTTTAATTTCTTCCGGAAAGGAGATAGGAGGTCGACGATCACTTTCTGTTGTATGTCCCAAGAAGTACGTCATCTCTATAGAATGAGTCATCAGAATAATCAAAATCATCAGATGCATCTGAGTAAGCCTGGATCAATGATAGCTGTGGTTATTTCCCAAATGAGTGCACATGGGTATTTTCAATATCTCTTCCCTAGATATGATAATTAAAAATCAGTTTTGAAATTGAGGTGGAATCCTCAGTTTTTATTACCCTCCCGTGTTGAAGAGAAAATGAATCATCATGCACTGACTTTGAGAGTCCTATAAAATTAGATAAAATATTAAGGAATAAAGATAAACTCGAGTTAAGGTGTCCCATGGGTATCTGAATGAAGCTCCCCTTGAATTTCTCCATTTTTATATAATAGCCCGATGTGTTAATTTCCACAGGAATCGTAAGATCTCCAAATCTCTTTGTGGTCTTTTCTTGAGCCGTATTTGCGAGCTCAGAGATGAATCAGATGATTTCTGCAACAAGATCAATTCTAAGATGAATTTTGTGTAGGAGTTTTTTTAAATTGGAAGAGGACCAGATCTTTCTCTAACTGCAAATTTAAAAATTGTGGAACCTATTTTGACCGAGTCAAACCCATTTTCTCCAAAGAAGTACATAGTACTAACTCCTCCCAAAAATCTCTGTCATTTTCAAAACTTTGACCGGCTATATCTTTTTAATGAAAATTATTTATAATATAAAAATTATATGAAAATGTTCTTTGTTAAAAGTACTTTCATAAAAGTATAAAATTTATAATTTTCATAAAAGTACTTTCAAATTTTTTAAAATGGCATAGTAGTATTTTTCACTTTCATAGATTTGCTCATCTGCTCCGTGGTTCACAATCGTTCTGGACCTATCTTTACTGTCCAATTTGTTTAACCCTGATGTACTTGCTTGGTCACCTGTACAAAGTCTTACAGCAAACGGGGGATTACTGGGGGAAATATCGGGGCCACCCTTCCTGTCCATGTTGTCCGTAGAGATGCCCTTGAGTAGATCGGCCCATGTGATGAGTCTAACGGAGGTACCGACGAATTTTCCGGCCGTCGTCTTAGAGCACCGAGGTCTTTAACAGTCGATTTCTTGGGCTCACTCTTGGTTCGACGCTCAGTGATGGTATTTGAAATCACACAAAATTTCTGATTATCAAGGAGATTGGACTCTGATTCGACCTCAGAATCAGAGGGTTGGGAACAGGGGATTTCATCTTCTCCTCGTAAACTCTGGTAGCGATTAGCGCTACCTGTTCCACCTTTCTTCAGCAGAGGTGTCGGGAGACTCAACAATGGGACGTGTGGGCTTCGTCTTCCCTTGTATTTAACCAAACTCCAACCGTCTTCTTCGATTTGGGGATGTGGTAGGGGTGGCTGGACCGGGGGCACTGAAGAGCGTACCTTCGGTCCCTCAAGAAGTTCTTTGTAGCTACAGGGCGGCCAGGGGATACCAAAATTTGTGTGTGTTAGCTCTTGGGTGATACCCAGGAGTCCATCTTCTGCGTACTGGTCGTGGCTTGGCGTGTTCAGGAGCCCAGTAATCAAAAGGGTAACTACTGGTGCTGTGTGGCTCTCAAGAATAATTATTTGGGCTTATTCTTATTGGGCTTCTAAACTATACTGGACTGATTATATTTTTAGCCTGTTATAGCCTATTAGCCCTTTAGTATAAATAGGCTTCTTTAACCTACTGTTATAGACGATTAACTTTTCTTCTTCTTCGTATAATCAATCTTCTTCCGCTACTCTTCCTCTCTGCAATTCGTTTCAACTTCTACATGGTATCAGACTAAGGTCTTGATCGATACTGATTCAATCTTCTTCTCTAATCGATTCCTCACAATCGATTTCATCCTTCTTAATCGATTTCTATAATCGATCTCTTCCTATTCCTTTTATTCAATCATCTGCAAAACCCTAACTACTATGGCTTCACTGCTAAATCCGACGGAAGACTCCTCATCATCGTACTATCTTCATCCTAGCGATCACGTTGGGCTTCGAGTCATCTACGAAACACTCACAGGCGACAACTTTGGTGCATGGAAGATATCTGTTTCCATGGCTATGGCGGTGAAGAACAAGATGAGATTTCTCGACGGTTCAATCACAAAACGAAGTCCAGATACTCCTATGTACATCAATTGGTATCGTATCAACGCTCTCCTCTTATCTTGGCCGATATATTCTATTTCACCTGCTCTTCGCACTACTTTCTTATCTTTTACTGATGCTAAGGAGCTTTGGGATGAGGTTCAGCTTAGGTATGGAAAAATTGATGGTCCTAGACTTTTTCATCTTGAAAAAACCCTAGGAAATCTTTGTCAAGGTTCTCGTAGTATAACTGATTACTACAACTGTTTCAAAGAAATTTGGGATGAATACTGTAATTTCAGAATTATTCCTTCTTGTACTTGTGGTCAATGCACTTGCAATATATCTGAAACCTATCAAAAAATTATCCAGAAAGAGTCTATTCTCAAGTTTCTTGTTGGTTTGAATGATTCATATTCTAATCTGAGAAGCCAAATTCTTCTTAACACAGAAAAAACTACTCTGTCTAGTATCTACTCTATTCTTCTTCAAGAAGAATCTCAAAGATCTCTTCAGAATACTCTTCCTTTCACTACTTCTTTTTCAGAACCTTCTGCTTCTGAAAAGCTCAACAATGATGCTACTGCTTTCTTTGTTAAAAATTTAAAAAAAGAAAAGTTCTATTACGTGTACTCATTGTGGCTATCAAGGCCATTCTTCTGATAAATGCTTCCAACTCATTGGTTATCCTAGTAACTGGAAAGGGCCAAAAGGACAGAGAACTGCTCCTGGTTTTAAACCAAATCCCAATCTTAATAAAAATCATCATGCTCATTTGGCCACTAATTCCACTGAACCTGCTATAACTCCTACCAATTCAAACAACAACCATCATGCTCCTTTGGTTACAAATTACACTGAATCTGCTCCTACTTCTATCAATTCAATTTCTGCTACCACTGATTTCTGTTATCCCAATCTGTATGAGAAGTTTCTGCAATTTGTTCAAGCTCAACAATCTAAAACTGCTTCAGCTAATGTTGTCACCATTGCTCCTGATGATGATCAAACTGCTTCTTACTGTGACACAAATTTTTTAGGTAAACACTTTGCTCTTTCAACTTTTCAATCTGCTCAATGGATTCTTGACACTGGAGCATCTGACCATATGGTTTATGATGCTTCATTATATACCACTCCAACTAAACACATTTCAATTAAAATTCAACTTCCTACTGACAATTTTATTTCTGCCACTAAAATTGGTGATATCAAATTGAATTCCAATCTTACATTACACAATGTTTTATATGTTCCTAACTTTACTTTCAATCTCATTTCTATTTCAAGTTTAACCTCTCATGATAATATCTCAGTATATTTCTCCTCTAACCATGCTATCTTGCAGGACCACCTTACCAGCAAAATGATTGGCTTTGGTGATTTAAGGAATGGCCTATACCACTATACTCCAGACTCATCTTTAGCTCATCATACTCCAACTGTGCATTCTGCAAATAGTCAACATCGTACCTCATCTGCTACTCTTTGGCATTTTAGACTAGGGCATCTGCCTTTTAATAAAATTTACATGCTTTCTGACTGTAATGTTTCTGATAATGTCAAACAATCTTTACCTTGTGATATTTGCCATTTTGCTAAACAAAAAAAGCTTCCTTTTCCTATCAGTACTTCTCATGCTTCTAATGCTTTTGATTTGATACATATGGATGTTTGGGGTCCTTATAAAGTTACTTCTTATACTGGTTTAAAATATTTGTTAACTATTGTTGATGATTACACTAGATGTACTTGGGTTTTTCTACTTAAAACTAAATTTGAGGTAAAATTTCATATGTTAAATTTCTATACTTTTATTGAAACTCAATTTCAAAAGAAAATTAAGATCATAAGAACTGATAATGGTACTGAATTCTTCTTTCCTGATTTCTATAATTCAAAAGGTATTGTTCATCAACTGTCCTGTGTTGAAACTCCTCAACAAAATGGTAGGGTTGAAAGAAAACATCAACACATTTTACAAATTGCTAGATCTCTTCTTTTTCAATCTTGTTTGCCTATAACTTTTTGGTCTGATTGTATACTTACTGCTGTGCATATAATCAACAGATTACCCACTTCTATTCTTCATAACAAATCTCCTTTTGAAATGCTTTATAATCATGCTCCAGATTATAATCATTTAAAGGTTTTTGGTTGTTTGGCTTTTGCTTCAACTATTTCTTCTAATAGAATTAAGTTTGATTCTAGGGCACATAAATGCATCTTCATTGGATATTCTTTAGGTTCTAAAGGATACAAATTATATGATTTAACTACTCATAAAACTTTTATTTCTAGAAATGTTAAGTTCTATGAAATGATTTTTCCATACAAGACTCAACATACTAAAAATAATTTGGATTCTGATTTCACAAATACACAAAATAATATTTTTAATGACTATTTAAACAATCTTACTAATTCTCTTACTCAAAATGCAAATGATTCTAATAATAATATCACAAATTACTTGGACACTCAAATCAATGAGGAGGTAAATTTGTTTAATTCTGATAATAATAACTCTATTGCTAATGATTCTTCTATTTTGTTGAACACAGAAAGTTCTCAGGTTCATGACAGTATGTCTGAACAAAATACTCAAAGGAAATCTACTAGAGTAAGATCCATTCCTATTCATTTAAGAGATTTTGCTTATGATCTTCCTAATTCTATCATTCCAGGTAATCCTGATTCTTCTTGTAACTTGGTTAGATATCCTATTCAAAATTACATTACTTATAACAAATTAAATATTTCTCATCACTGTTTTATTGCATCTCTTTCTAAGATTCCAGAACCAAAATCTTACAAACAAGCTGTAAAATTTACAGAATGGAAAAATGCTATGAATGATGAAATTAAAGCCCTTGAAAATAATAATACTTGGGTTCTTGTTGATCTTCCTGCTAATCAACATACTATTGGTTGTAAATGGGTTTTTAAAACAAAACTTAAATCTGATGGTTCTCTTGATAGATATAAAGCTAGACTGGTAGCAAAAGGTTACACTCAAGAAGAAGGCCTTGATTACTTTGATACTTTCTCTCCAGTTGTAAAGTTAACCACTGTAAGAATTCTTTTAGCTATTGCCAGTTCCAAAAACTGGTACTTACATCAATTAGATGTAAATAATGCTTTTTTACATGGTGATTTGAATGAAAACATTTATATGCAACCCCCTCCTGGTTATTTAGAAACTAATGATACTAGAGTTTGTAAACTTCTTAAAAGCTTATATGGTTTAAAACAAGAATCTAGACAATGGTATTTTAAACTTTCTGAATCTTTAAAAAAATTTGGTTATAATCAATCTCAGGCAGATTTCTCTCTTTTCACTAAAGTTAGTAAAACATCTTTTACTGCAATATTACTTTATGTGGATGATCTTATTCTTGCTGGAAATGATATAAATGAAATTAATGTTGTTAAATCTTTTCTGCATCATAAATTTACTATTAAAGATCTTGGTGAATTGAAATATATTTTGGGAATAGAAATTGCTAGATCAAAAACTGGTATTGTTTTAAATCAGAGAAAATATACTCTTGAAATTCTTTCTTATTTTGGATATCTTTCATCCAAACCTTTTTCTACACCTATGGATTCAAAAATTAAACTCTCAAAAAATGATGGCACTGTTTTAAGCAATCCTAAAACCTATAGAACTTTAATTGACAGATTGTTATATCTTACTGTAACCAGACCTGATATATCTTATTCTGTCCAAACACTTAGTCAGTTTTTATCTTCTCCTACTGACATTCATATGGCTGCAGCTCATAGAGTCCTTAGATATCTTAAAACCTCTCCAGGTAAAGGACTTTTTTATTCCTCCAAATCTTCTTTCAATATTCAAGCATATACTGATTCTGATTGGGGATCCTGTGTTGATACTAGGAGAAGTATTTCTGGTTATTGTTTTTATCTTGGTGATTCTTTAGTTTCTTGGAAATCCAAGAAACAATCTGTTATCAGTAGATCCTCTACTGAAGCAGAATACAGGGCTGCATCAAATGCAGTTTGTGAAGCACAATGGCTTGTTTATATTCTTCAGGATTTACATATTCAGAATTCCTTACCTATTACATTATATACTGATAACAAATCTACATATCATTTAGCATATAATCCAGTACAACATCAAAGAACTAAACACATAGAACTGGATTGTCATTTAATAAGGGAAAAGATTAATTCTGGACTCATAAATCTTACTCATATACCTAATATTTATCAACTTGCAGATATCTACACAAAACCACTTGAAAATCCTCTCTTCAAGCAGTTTGCAGACAAGATGAACATGCTGGACACTCATGCTCATCTTGAGGGGGCGTCTCAAGAATAATTATTTGGGCTTATTCTTATTGGGCTTCTAAACTGTACTGGACTGATTATATTTTTAGCCTGTTATAGCCTATTAGCCCTTTAGTATAAATAGGCTTCTTTAACCTACTGTAATAGACGATTAACTTTTTTTCATTCTTCGTATAATCAATCTTCTTCCGCTACTCTTCCTCTTGCAATTCGTTTCAACTTCTACAGTGGTTGAACAGGGTTTGAGCTGTAGTGAAGCTCAGGTGACCAAATCCTCCGCCTGGAGCGTTCATGAGTGCAGTAATGAAAAGGATAACTACTGCTCGTGCGTGTATTCTATTGTTTAGTTCGTTGATGGCCTGAAAACTTACAGGTGGCCGGCTGAAAATAGGTTGAGCTGGAGTGAAGCTCAGGTGACCATATTCTCCGATGTGGCTATTGGCTGGCGTTGCCCCAAATTAACGGCTCATTGTATTGATTGAAAGGGATACACGTTCTGGACAATCCTTTCCTTGTGCGTCTACCACTCAAAAGCTTGGTGTGATAGTGTTGATTCCAGAATTCTTGTTGTGGGATCCTAGCTGGGATATTCCAAAAGTTGTTTGTAGGGGAATTATCCATTGTGTACTCAACATTATCATTGTAGAAAAGCTTTTGCCGGCGTTGAGGTTGTCGGATTTCCATGAACAGAGTTAGGAGTTGACTGGAATTTTTTTAGAGAGATGGGAGAGTTTCTCCCTCTTCATCTTTTTTAATATTTCTAACACTCATATCTTTCCTATTTAAGCTTCTTAATTTGACTATGATCTTCGGCTATGAACATACATCTCTTATGCGCTTGTAATAAGAATGCAATCAATATAACGCAAATATGGAATTGATCATTACAAGGACAAAAATATCAAAGGGATCATGGGGAATTGGAGGATATCATGTTTAACCTTTACAAAGATTGAGGCAAGAGTACTCTCTCCGTTCCTAGGGGCATGCACTGTAACTTTTTCAAGCAACGTCTAATATCTTCCCTTAATATTCAACGTACTGGACATGAACACATTTTAACCATAGATCATTGCCTTCTAATAAAGGTATTATTAGCTCACTTGTTTGTGCTGATATAATTGTAGTAACAGATTTCTCCATGGACGTTCACATGAAATTTAACCACCAAAGCCATGGATATCTACTAACAAAGGCAGCACATACGATAAAGGGATATGCATACAAATTTCTTACATGTTTATTGAAGGGCATACAAGCTAATTAATCAACTACAAGCTAAGCCTATCGCTCCTTATATAATAATAATGTATTTTGCTAATGTTGCTGGCAAAACACAAGGGATCACAAGAGGGAACTTAAGGATAATGAGTACACCAAAAAGTGGTTGTTCATAAATGAAGATATGTCAAAGAGAGTAAACCTAAAGATAAAATTTAGCATCCAATTCCCTGCAAAATTGAACACATAGCATATGGTTGGGGGAACCAAATTTCTAGCTAAAATTCTTCCTTGCTTAAGTGATTCTGCAACCTTTACGGATATACTCTATGGAGTATCTTTCATATGATGTACATTACAAAAGAAATGCTAGGTAAGATTCATTAAAGGTGGATTGTATTGGTTATTATTAATTTATCACTACGTATTAAATAGGGGTGAATTGGGATACAACTTTAAGTCATCTTTCAAGATCGAATACATCTATAAATATGATTTTCCAGGGAATAAAATAAAAGATGAGAAGAAATTTGAATAAGAGTAAAAGTTCAAATGACAAACTCAATGAAATTCTGGACAATGAAAAAATATGTTGCTACATATGTCAATATGAGATACAGATGAATCTAAGAAGAAAAATATGATAACTGAGTTGAACTTAAGATTAAAAATTACTCCGAAGCAAATACAATTTTGAGATCATCACACATGTACAGTATCAAAAATACAAATCTGATATCTAAACCTAAAAACCTATGAAAAAAGCAATAAATCCAAGTCTTATTAAAGATATACTGACTAAATACATACCGAAGCAGCCGAGCAAATAGGGGCAGAGGATGAAGGGCGGAGCCGCAAAGCCGGGGAGGCTGGAAAGTGCCGCTAGCGTAGGGCAAGAGAGGAATAGCCGTGCACGTCTCTGATTTTTCTATTAAAGCGCTCGAATTGCCTCTCGACATAAGGCCATCACCTGAAAGCGTTGGACCGTACTCCACCACATAGATGTGATCGGAAACTGGAAGCAGTGGAGGCCATCACATCGATCGTTTGGTGCTTGACGATGTAGAAACGAGAAGTCTGAACACTGCTCCATGAAATAATACATGGAGAAGAGAGTCTGAAATCATTGTCAGCTCTCCATGCCCTCACCGGCTCTCCTAGGGAGCTTGATTTAGCCTTCGAGAAGTGTCATGCCGTTGTGGAAGTGAAGGGCGGAAGGGTGGAAGGCAGACCGACTAAAATCCGGGAAAGGAAGAGCAGAGAGAAAAAGATGAAAACAGAGTCATATTGATTTGATCGGAGATCTAGCCAGTTGGCTATTTTTGAAATAAAAAACTAAAAGTGAAAAAATGAAAGTTAAATATGAAAAGTAAATTATCAGGGGACAAAAATGAAATACATTTGGGAAAAGTGGACTTGTCGGGATATTTCCACTAAAAAATATACTCCTTAAATTGTTTGTGGGTTCGTCATTTACATATACGTACTTGAAAAATTATACTCTCTCCGTCTCCCAATTAAGTTACCACTTTCCTTTTTGGACAGTCCTTAAATTAAGTTCATACTTCCTTACTTTTCTTATTTGGCAAATTATTTACATCAAAACAGTGTCAAACAGTGCAAAACAGTGTCAAACAGTATTTGAACAGTACAAAACAGTGCACTTCAGGTAAAGTAAAATTTATTGGGGAACGGATGGAGTATTATTCACGATATTTTGTTAAGTTCTTACTCATTAACTCAAATAAATAGATTTATTTTCAACATTATTAATACGGAGTAGAAGATTTCTATAATAATTTCACAACCGTAATGATCCGAGTTCTAATAGGATGCGGAGATCAACGTATCTAGCTAGACCTATAGATGCAGCAAAAGAATTCGGAATAGCATGCGTGAAACATCCTTGGATAGCAGAGTCCCGCCCGCCATGGATGAGCTACTACTCGCCGGAATTCTACTGTGTCTGCCTCCCAAGTCGATTTACCGATTCAGGGTCGTCTCCAAAACATGGAACAGTTTGATCTCCGATCCGTTTTTCATTGAGAGATACGACAGCAAGCGGCGGCGGCGGCATGAAGGCGGTGGTTTGCTGGCATTGTTCCAAAATACAATAGTGTGGCCTTATTCCTCCCAACCGGACAGGTACGACCAGAAATCTCTGAAGATACTGCCTCTAGATGCAAATAGCAAAATCAAGAACCAGTCTCCGGAACTAGGCCAATTCATCAATTCCTCCAACGGTTTGATCCTCTGCAGCGGCGCTCGTAACCACCGCGAGTTCCTCGTCGTCAACCCCGTTACGGGGAGGTTTGTAACGCTGCCACCGCCACCCCCGCTGCCGGCCGAAGATGAATATGCGTTAATGGAATCACCTGTGGGGCTGATGTGCGAGGAGAATAAAGCTGAACTGACCGCCAAGTATATCGTCATTCGAAACGAGTCTTCTCCCGATGAAGAGGCTTTCAAGATCCGGACTTACTCCTCCGAGACAGGCGCCTGGGCCGCCGAACCCAAAGTGATCGCCGCCGACACTGCAGGGCTGGAACTCCACCTTAAGGCGTTTCCCTGTCCTCCTTTTGTGATGAACGGTGTTTTCCACTGGTACACCATTTTCAAGGAAAAACTAGTCCTTTACCGGCCCGCCGAAGAGCACCTCCAGCTCATCAGCAACCCAGCCTGGTTTGACGGCATGCTTTGGAATCCTCTCTGCTTTACGACTATTGCAAGGACATCAATCGAAGACGGTGATGTGTTATGGTTCGGCTTCATGGACCCCGAAACCATGAGACTTTTTATGCTCACGAAGGGCACCGAAGAAAGCCGCGGCAATGACAATCAACCGCGGCCCTCACGACCCTCTATCGTAGCTGGTCAAGAATGGGTTTTGATGTACCGTATTAGTTTGAGTTCACTCTGGAACGACCGCCTCTTATATCCATTGAAGTGGCAAAACCCTTGGGTGAGGATAATTTTCTTGGATGCCTTTGTTCCGATCAATGACAATAAGAGTAAGAAGAAGAAGAAAAATACTGCTCCGTTTGACCTTATTTTGAGGGTACAAGAAGGTGATGCATTTCTTTTCCACTTGAACACCAAATCCATTCAACCTCTTGTTAAGTATGAAGCATGTCCAACGAGTGGGGCATATGCAGTGCATTCTTTAGCTCTTCATCCTTACTTAGAACCATCATCTCTTTCCACATATGCTCTTTAGTTAGGTTGATATAATTATTGACAAATTATTCTAGAAAAGGAATTATAGATAAATTAGTTAATAACTTGAAAGTTATTAACTTGCTTTGACCGATGTAATTTAAAAATTATTGCTTTGCGTGTTGTGTTTTACGAGGTTCCTTTAACATATATAATGACGTTAATTATGTTTTTTAAAGGTTAATTATGTTAATATAATATACTTCCATTACTTCTTATAGATTAGTAGTACGTATATTGACTAATACTCAGATATTAGCATATAAATTTGTATATTCTAGATTATTCTCCGAATCTTTAGATTATACTTTATTACCAAATATGGTGTAACCGTAGCATAGCAAGAATATTTGATAGCTAATTCTTAGGTTCTATTTTAGGAACACTTCATGTATAAATATTGTGTAATACTAGATTTTCACCCGCGCGATGCGCGGGACATATACTAAATAATAATATTAAGTAATTAGTTGTTTCATATTAGTTGTTAATATAAATAGTTAATGCCTAAATGACATGAAAGAGTATATATGTAACACATACAACCAATTGTAATTAATGTAAATATATATGAGGCGTAATTGGTACGAATAATGTTTCAGGATCGTAAGGAATAATAAACATTACAATAGGAAATCCGTACTCTACAAATTCCGAAATACTTCTTTGTAAACAACATTGGTAGTACGATCGAGTTGTTCCCCATTTTCACTGCATATGAGTATCTTCAAACCCTTGCGATTTGTGACTCTCGATGCTGCAACATAAAGTTGACCATGCGTAAAGACAGGCTTTTTAATAAAAGGCCAACATGCGACAATGATTGACCTTGACTTTTATTTATTGTCATCGCATAAGAGGTCATGACAGGAAATTGTCTACTTTGAAACTTGAAGGGAATTCTTGAATCAAATGGAGTCAAAGTTAACCTTGGAATGACAATTTCAAGTCTAGCATATTTCCCCCCTAGAATTTTTGCTCCGAGGATGTGATTCCCAAGCCGTGTAACAATCAACCTTGTTCCATTGCAAAGCCCCATAGACGGATCAATATTCCTCAGAAGCATTATCGGAGTACCGACTTTAAGGATTAACTCGTGGTTCGGAACTCCTGATGCACGGATTTTATTTAGGAATTCAGGAGTGTGCAAATCAGCCAAGAAATCGGAATTTGAGTCTGACTTGCAGATGCTATCAGAACTCAAATATGTCCTAGACTCTTCCTGAACATTGAGAGATGTCATGTATTCGTTAATTTGATCCACAACATCAAGAGTTGGAGCTAGGATTGCACGCTCTTGCAAGTAGGACAGATCATTTCCAATATACATGATTCCAATACAATAAACTATATCTATTGCATGATTTCAATACAATAGATTATTTCTATATGCCCTAAAGTTTTATGCTTAAGGCAATTAAATACAAACATGCCCTCAATTACTATTATTATTTTTTGGAAACGTGAATCGCTTGCTCTTTAAATTTGAAACTTGTTTAATTACAAACTTTAGCAACTCCTTTTCTCTTAGGAGTAATAATTTTGAATCTTATTCTAAAAAAAATAAAAGAAAACATTTTATTCAAAAATATTACTCCCTTAAGGGTCATTATTATATGATTTTTTTGATTTTATTTTTATCGTTACCATTATACATAATACTCTCCTCCGTTCTGTTTTAATCGCAACATGTTGAATTTTACAATATTTACATGCTCTACTTTGACTACATTTGACACTATTATTTTATGAAAATTGTTTTTTTAAAAAAATATTGTTCAATTCATCTCATTACAATTTTCAAAATATGATTTTTAATATTTTTTTACTAATATAATTAACATATAATTACGGTCAAAGACGTGCGTGGGCAAATATGGAATGTTGACCGTTGCAACTAAAAAAGAATGGAGGGAGTACAATTTATATTTTTTGATCATTAAAAATAACTTAAGAATTTTAGCTCATATAAATAGTCTCAAAACCCAGCTAAGTTTTAACCCATTTGAATACTTTGAAATATTTTTTTGGCCCAATTAAATCTGACCAAACCATTGAATATGTACAAACGTATGTAACATCCATTTAATTTCAGACCCAAATACCTGAAATTTCGGATCCAACTTATAATCCCATTAGAATAAAACCTTTCAGCCAGCCCTAATCCTACCCGGCCCAGTTAAACGTACTCAGCCCAACCCGTTAGATTTAAGCGACCCAGATCAACCCTAACCAACCCTAAATACAAATACCCTGCCTGCGTTCCACCCCATTATCCAGTGTACCACCTATTATCCTGAAGACCCTTCTACGCCTCTTACTCCCTCTGCGATAGAAACCTACCGTCTTCAATGCCACATTCATCCTCCCCTCTAAAACTCCCCCTCTAAACGCCATCATTCATATCCAGTTCTCACTTCTTTGTACCCAAACATTCAATCCGAACGATAGATGGTATTTGTACAATCCGATAGATGGTGTTTCCATCTGATACAATCCGAACGATTGTTGTCCATTCCGATTGAGTTGTCGGTATATTTCTGAATTTCTTTGATTTAAACATACTGGTTGATTATATATTCAATTTTCTGTATTTTGGTTTTCTATATAAAAAATCTGTTAAACATTCAATTCATTGGTGTTTGTACACTGTTTTTTCAAAATTATTCTGATATTTTTTAAAAAAACTTCCACTGCTCGTAGTACCTGTAACAGATCTTTGTAGATCGATGGATATGTTATTGGTGCAAGTCTGAATCTCCGAGACCTAACATTATTTGGCATTTAGATCTGTATAGATCCATGATTCTGTGGTTCGTACACGTTTATACATAAGTTTTTCGTTTTGATTTTGTACTGACCAAGGGGTATACTCAGATTTCTTCACAGTGAAATATTCGGTCACCCCGTATCACGAAATGGTACTACGTATGGGTCTAAATTTATAAATTTTTTCTTTCTTACATGTTTGAATATAAGATATGTATCATTTGTTGCTTTTAGATCTGTCTAGATCTATGCGTTTGTGATGCGTACATGTCTTTACAACATCAGTTTATGCAATCTGATGTTGGGCCTGTTTATTCACATCCACGGCACACTACTATTCTATCAAGTGGCCCAGTTGTATGTTGTACTACGTAACTATGAATCAAATACCTGAGTTAATATGTTCCGAAGTTATTCTATTTTTTTTAATGCATGTAATACTTATTTGAAATAAAATCCTAAGATTAAACTATTTTTGATAAATCAACACTCATTTTGTGAATACCTATATGTAAATCAACACTGATAAATCAACACTCATTTTGTGAATACCTATATGTAAATCAACACTGAATACTTCTTTGTGAAATAACTTAAATCATTTTTTAAACAATATGGGTTCAAACTAAATCTGATTTTCGAACTATGCCTCATACATCTTAAATATTTAACTTAATGTATTCCTAAGTTATTCTAATTTTTTTAATAGGTCATATAGTATTAATTTGAAAAAAAAAACTGATTTAGCCTCAATATGGGTTGAAACTAAATTTGATTTTCAAACTATGTGAATACTTATTTATGCAAATACTTATTTATATACCTATGTGAATACTTATTTATATACCTATGTGAATACTTATTTATGCATGAAACAATATGGGTTGAAACTAAATCAGATTTTCAAACTATGCTACATACATCTTAAATACTCAGTTTTAGTATCGGTTTCTTTGTAACTAATTTGTGTTTTAACTACTCTTAAATACTCTGCTTGGATGCTTTGTGATTTAACAAAAGTGTCTACTTTCATTTATACTCTGCTTGGATGCTTATTTTGTTTTAAACAAAATCTTTACTTTCATTTAATACATATTTTATGTCATAGTTAATCGTATATGAAATCCTAATACAGTAATACTTACATAGATTGAAAACTTAACCTTTAAAAATATTTTATCATAATATAGATATACATGTAAGAATAACTATGTATTAGGATTTCATATAAGTGTTCAATTTATCTATATTATCATAATATAATATAGATGTTATGCTCCCTATGGTTTAAAAGGATTTAGTTAAAATACTTTATGTTTTCTGAAACTAATGTTTGCAGCCATACCTAAATGCATCTTAACTATTTCTGTCTGGGTCAAGTAGTAGGTGATGTGGCATTGACCATAGGGTTACCCGATACCCTGCCAGCCACATCGGTGGTCTTCGGAACTGTGTGGTCGGGTAGCCCGCTGCACAGCCATCATCAATTCTACCATTGACCACATTGACATGATGATAGAAGGTCACCCATTTTTTCCCCAGAAATTTTTGGTGTTATGAATTCAATGAAATTTCGGGTTATATATTCTATGATAAATCTGAAGTTTGCATTATTACCTTGGTCAAATGCCTCTCCCGCCAGCCTCTTACAGTTGATTATTGTACGTTTGGTAAGCCTCCTCATTTTTATAATGTCATAAACTATACGTGCCCTGTACATCATGTATATCAGGTTTTATATGTGATCTCTCAGATGCATATTTATTTCGCTAAAAGCATCTAAAAATGCATGTTCCATAGGTTATTATATTATATACTCTTAAAATGATATATGTGCATCCTAATCATCTTTCTATCTTAAACTTCTTTGCCCATTAATAAAATGTAATTTTTCAAACAAAGCATGACGCAAATGAAAGTAAACAGAAATGTTGTAGCAAAAATATGCATTCATGGTGCATTTAAATGAATCATTCATAACATCTTATTACATTGAATGTTCTGATACATTTCATGTAGCCTAAGGCATACTTGTTAATAAAAACCATAAACTATTTTAACTAAATCCTTTTTAACCAACTCATCTGCATTCCCACAATTGTGTCTTCATTGAAAACCTTTCTGTTAAGATAAACTGCCTGGACAGGCGCTGGTTAAATGCCACCTAGGGAAAACCCAAATTTCAGGCACTTCGGCCAGCTTTAGTATTTGGAAGAAGTGCTTTTCTATGTCATATTCGAAAATGCTAAACTCAGCTTTACTACTTTTTCCTTTTTTGGTATTTTAAACAGGAGTCAAAGAACCTTTTTATAAATTTACCTGTTTTAATAGTACTATGTTGTATCTATTATCTATTATTTTTACAGAACTAATATTTTTAACTGGTTGTAAACTGTTTATATTATACATTTTATAAACATTTTCGTTAAGGCCTGCGTGTTATATAAATATACTAATATTTGTATATTTTATATAACAATACATTAGGCTAATAATAAAAGTGCTCAAAACATGCAAATTAACTTATATATATATATATATATATATAGTTATATATATATATATATATATATATATATATATATATATTACCTGGTATAACCGAGTGATTATGAACTAAAATTCTTTCCAGTAATGATATGATTTTAAATGCTAAATTTTACAATGGAAATTATATAATTTTTCATTAAAATAATTTAAAATCTAAATAGTATGTTATCAAATGTTTGGTGTCTTACATACCCCACTAAGCTCGTTCTTGTTTTTTAAACTGATTTGATGCAGTTATTATTTCTTCTTTTCATGAGAAATTAAACATATTTTGAGCACACATTAAGAATTTTATATTATTAACATAAGCTATGAAATTAGTTGCATATAAGGTGTGGTTTTCACTTGTTTGTTTTAGTGAACTTGCATCACCAACACATTTTACTTACTATTCTATTTTAATTTCAGGTGCAGCCAGGAACATTGAAATATTGTTTTTATTTTTGTATTTTAGTTTGATGAATGTAATTTGTAGGTTTTGGGGCCTTTAATAAGATGCCCTCATATGTAATAATTAAATAGTTTAGACTTAGGTTAACAGGTTTCCACCCCAAAGATAAGGTATGCCTTCTTCACCTCCTTTAATACAAACTGCACTGAATTGAATATATATATTTAAGCAGCAAATAACGTACAAACCCCAAATATATATACACATTATACGATATTTATAACGTGCAAAATATTATAAGCAGCAAATACTCTATGTAATATTAAATGTCGGCAATAATATATTTTTAGTTATTATATGAAGTACGCTTTTGCAATGTTTTCATCAGAATTGGGAAAATTTATTTGTTATCTTTTCATATGTTTTGTACAATTCAGGATTTCATAAAGTTAGTTATTAAATTAAGTACTATGTCTTTTTTTACCACAATTTTTCTTAAAATGTTCTATCTTATTGAAATGTTCTTTATTACTGAAACGTTCTTTTTTATCTGATTAAAATGTTCTTTCTTATAAAGTGAGAATTATTGGGATGTTTAAATTTCATAATCATTTTTAGTAATTCGGATTTTCTATATGCTAATACTAATTTTAAAAATATTTATAGGCTCATAAGTAACATAGAATGTCTCAACTTTATTATAAAAACCGAATGTTACATTTTTAGTCATGTAAATGCCTTTTCTGATTACAAATTACAAATACTACGAATATTACAATTCTAAAGAATTTGCTGCCTATAATTTCAATCACACAACGTGATTCAACCATGCCATCTGTGTGTCTCGTTCTTACATATCACAATCTTTGTGGCTTCCTCCATTCATGCGTTGTAGTACTGCTAAAATGTTCCTAACTTTGTATGTGAACGTTAGTCACCCCTAACTTGCAAACCAATAGACATAGCAAAATCGAAAATACCAAAAGGTTTTTTAAAAGCATTGTAAGTCATAGGTTGATAATATTACAATCTCATTTTGTAGTTGTAATTGTTATCTAGAACTAAAAAGTTTTTGACTCTGAAACATTGGTTTTCCACCAGTTTGGTTCTATACAGATGCGTGCACGGCCTTTTTATGACTGCATGAATACGGCCCCCCTGCAATGCTACTTGAATAAGTGTTATAAAGTTGAATTTTTGAGAATTTAAATGCTTGAGTATCAATTTAAAATGCATAAACGAATGTTGAATTACCTCTGCATCGTGAAAAACTACTTCCAGCCTTGCACCTCCTTTGGAATGAGATGGAACCTCATAAGCTCCTACCATCCGTACTCTGAGAGCACAAGTTGACCTAGTGAGGTCAACTTCCTTTATCATGGAATACAAATCGCTATTATTAGGCGGAGTGTTTTCCTTGCTTGTTGTCATGGTGTGGTGGTGAGTTTGAAATGAGATTTACTTAGTACTCCGTATATATAGGGAATTCAAAATTTAGGGTTTGCAATGAAACTGAATTACCCAGCGTGTAACAATCTTCAGTCCACTCAACTAACTCATTAAATGCTCAACCACCCGCATTAAATGCGTTTGACCACCTCAGAATTAAATTTGTTCACAGCAACACGTTTTCAATTGAGAAAAAAGGCCGAAAATTTGAACCAAAAGCATTCTGGTCAACTGATGTGGACCCAATCCTCAAAAATCCGATTTTCACATACTTGACCCGTTTTTGACCCGGCGAAATGGGCGGGAAAAGTGGCTGCAATTCCACTTCGTTTTGTATAATAGAAGATACAAGAAAGAGCAGGCTGAATTTATATTAGCATATAAATTTGTATATTCTAGATTATTCTCCAAATCTTTAGATTATACTTTATTACCAAATATGGTGTAACCTTAGCATAGCAAGAATATTTGATAGCTAATTCTTAGGTTCTATTTTAGGAACACTTCATGTATAAATATTGTGTAATATACAAGGAAGAGCAGGCTCAATTTTCCAATTACTATGTTTTACTTTATGGTATCAGAGCCTCCGTTAGCAGCCTAGTGAAATAACTTCTCCTTCTCCTCAAAACCAAACTTACGTTCTTAACCCAAGTGATAATCCTGGAACCGTTATTACACATGTAGTTCTAAAGGGCTATAATTATGAAGAATGGGCCAGAGGATTTAGAATTTCCCTGCGTGCCAAACGAAAGCTGATGTTCATAGATGGCTCTCTGAAGCAAGCAGTCGAGGGTTCTCCCGAAACTAAGGACTGGTGGACAATAAACTCCATGGTTGTTGCATGGATATTCAATACAATTGATGCTTCTCTTAGAACTTCGATTTCGTATCGGGATGTCGCTTGCGATCTGTGGAAAGACATTAAAGAACGGTTTTCTGTCGGCAATGGGGTCAAAACTTATCAAATCAAGACTGAACTGTCTGATTGCAAACAGAAAACCGGTGAGACGATCATGAGCTATCTCGGTCGGTTGAAAAAGTTGTGGGATGATATGAATGATTTTGACGTTTTGCCCGTATGCATTTGTACTGGTTGCAAATGTGATTTAACCACGAAGCTTTGCCAGAGACGTGATGGAGATAAAGTACGAGACTTTCTGATGGGGCTTGATTCCTTTTATGCCTCCGTCAGGTCCAGCCTATTAGGCATTGACCCTCTGCCTTCTCTGAATGTCGTGTATGCACGACTAATCCAGGAAGAAGAGGTGTGTACTATTATTGGTGGTCATGTGTACTATTATCGGGGGGGAACACGACCACCGAGCAGCTCCACGACTTGCACTTTCTGTTCAAAGCCAGGACATACTGAAGACCGGTGCTTTGCTAAGCATGGCTATCCAGAAGGATGGTTGGAGCGTCGACGCAATACACACAAGTCACGTGGGCCCTCCAGTAGCGCTTCCGGAGGATTCACCGCCACCTCTTCGGGACAGCAACCCAAAGCAAATGTCGTTCAAGCCGGCAATATTACTACTGATCTTAACGAGCTTCGATTGAATGGTAAGACAGAAAACCTGTGGATTATAGATACAGGTGCTTCACACCATGTGTGTGGGAATATTCATCTTTTCGAATTTTTTGTTGATACAATTCCTATTGAGATTGGGCTTCCAGATGGATCTTTTATCAAAGCTACAAGTGTTGGTAGCGTTAAGTTGAACGACAGACTTGTGATCAATAATGTTTTGTTTGTGCCCGAGTTTACTTGCAATTTATTATCTGTATCAAAATTGCTCAAGGATAATAGACTGAGTAATCAATTCACTTATTCTAATTGTGTTATACAGGACCAAGTATCGAGGATCAAGATTGGTGTGGGTGAGCAGCATGGGGGGCTGTTCTACTTAGCGATGGGGGAACGAGTGCGTATCAATAAGGCAACACAGTTGGATGTTGGAGACTTGTTGCATGCGCGTCTGGGACATTCCTCGTCGCAAATTATGAAATTGTTACCTCAAGTTAGTGATCATTTTGACAGAAGTAATAATAAGCCATGTGATATTTGTTATCGTGCTAAGCAGACTCGTTTGAATTTTCCTTTGAGTAATAATGGAGCTGCCAATTTATTTGATTTGATTCATTGTGACGTTTGGGATCCTTATAAAGCCAATCGATCTTGTGATTCTCGTTATTTTTTCACTATCGTGGATGATCATTCTAGAAGTGTTTGGGTATTTTTGATGAAGCATAAAAGTGAGGTGTCTCATTTATTAATACGTTTCTTTGCATTAATCAAAAGACAATTTGGACAAGATGTGAAATCTGTACGGAGTGACAATGGAACTGAGTTTATGGTATTGAGTAAATATTTTGTTGAACATGGAATTATTCATCAAACATCTATGGTAAGAACTCTGCAGCAAAATGCACGTGTGGAACGCAAGCATCGCCATATTCTTAACGTGGCTCGTGCTTTGCGTTTTCATGGAAATTTACCAATCGATTTCTGGGGAGAATGTGTTCTTAGTGCTGCTTATTTGATCAATCGGACTCCCTCTCGGATCCTGAATGGTAAGACACCTTTTGAATTACTTTTTGGTTGTTTTCCGGATCTCATTAATCTTCAAAATTTCGGGTGTCTTTGTGATGCAAAAGAGTTGAATCCAGTTGATAAATTTGCTAGCCCCAGTCGTAAATGTATTTTTGTTGGGTATCCTTTTGGTAAAAAGGGATGGAGCCTATTTTATCTTGAGACTGGTCAATATTTTTATTCCCGGGATGTAATCTTTTATGAGACAATATTTCCGTTTAAGCATGACAGTCAAGTGCTGCTCCAGGACACCAAGAAATTTTTGGATGATGAATATGTTATTTACGATCATGATGAAACTGGGGCACCACCTAATTCCCAGGAGCAGCTGGTCGATTCTTCTTGCGGCATTGAGAGTCCAGAGAATTCAGGTGCAACACTTGAACATGTGCATGATAACGAAATTAATGTTCATGCCGAACCTCCTCCACTCGTTCCCCAGCATGACTCTGCAGCTTTGGCAGAACCAGCGTCATCACGTTCTGAAGCACTTGGACGTGGGCAAAGGCAGAAATTACCAAATGTTCGCCATCGTGATTATGTTACTTATACTACTCAGGTTCCCCCCATTGCTACTGCACCTACATCTATATCGACGTCCTCAGGTACAAGGTATCCTATATCACAATTTGTGAATTGTAATATTTTTTCTGTTGTGCATCAAAATTTTCTTGCAGCTATTACATCTCACACGGAACCCGCCTCTTTTAAAGAGGCAATGCGTGATATGCTCTGGCGTAAGGCTATGCAAGACGAGGTCTAGGCCCTTGAGGACAATCACACTTGGACCATTGAAGACTTACCTTCTGGAAAATTGGCCATTGGTTGCATGTGGATTTATCGCATTAAATATCAATCAGACGGAACCATTTAACGCTACAAGGCCCGATTAGTTGTTTTTGGTAATCATCAGGTCGAAGGTGTCGATTTTGCTGAAACGTTTGCACCAACGGTCAAGATGGTTACGGTTCGTACGTTTCTTACTATTGTTGCATCTCTGAAGTGGGAACTCCATCAAATGGACGTTCATAATGCTTTTCTTCATGGAGATCTCGATGAAGAGGTTTATATGAAGTTCCCTCCTGGATTTCATATTGGTCCTCCCAGCAAAGTTTGTCGTCTTCGTAAATCATTATATGGACTATGCCAGGCACCTCGATGTTGGTATGCTAAATTGGCTAATGCTTTATGCTCTTATGGTTTTCACAATAGTTCATCTGATCATTCTCTATTTGTGTACCGTCGAGGTTCCATTTCTATGAGTATTCTTGTTTATGTTGATGATCTTGTCATTGCTAGAAAAAATAGTGACTCTATTGCTCAATTTAAAGCTTATCTTCATAAGTGTTTTCGTATGAAGGATTTGGGCAAGCTCAAATATTTTCTTAGTCTAGAAGTGGCTCGAAATTCAAGTGGTATTTTTCTTTGCCAACGTAAATATGTTCTAGACATTTTAACTGAGACAGGTCTTCTGGGTGCTAAACCGGCTAGCATTCCCATGGAAGAATCACTCTTTAGCTCTTGCTTCCGATGACCAGTTGGATGACCCGATGAAGTATCGACGACTTGTTGGACGGTTAATTTATCTTACTATTACTCGTCCCGAGCTGTGTTATTCAGTTCATATTTTATCTCAATTCATGCAACACCCGACTAGATCACAGTGGGAGGCTGCTTTGCGTGTGGTTCGATATCTGAAGTCTAGTCCGGGTCAGGGTATTTTGTTACGTGCCAATTCTGATCTATCCTTACGTGCATATTGTGATGCTGACTAGGCTAGATGTCCACTTACTAGACGGTCTCCGATAGCTTACTTTGTGTTCCTTGGCGACTCTCCAATTTCCTGGAAGACTAAGAAACAGGCTACTGTCTCACGTTCGTCTGCCGAAGCTGAATATCGAGCTATGGCCTCGACTACTTGTGAGATTTTATGGTTAAAGGGTTTATTAAAAAGCTTGAGTATTCCTCACCCGTCTCCTGTCTCTTTGCAATGTGATAGTCAAGCAGCTCTACATATTGCCAACAATCCTGTGTTTCACGAACACACCAAACATATTGAAATTGACTGTCACTTTGTTCGTGATGAGATTCTTCGCCATACTATTGCACCTTGCTATGTTAACACTTCTATGCAACTTGCTGACATTTTGACTAAAGCCCTCGGAAGCCGTCAATTTGAGCAATTACTAGTCAAGTTAGGCATTCGTAATCTTCATGCTCCAACTTGAGGGGGATATTAGCATATAAATTTGTATATTCTAGATTATTCTCCATATCTAAGATTATACTTTATTACCAAATATGGTGTAACCGTAGCATAGCAAGAATATTTGATAGCTAATTCTTAGGTTCTATTTTAGGAACACTTCATGTATAAATATTGTGTAATATACAAAGAAGAGCAGGCTGAATTTTCCAATTACTATGTTTTACTTTATCAGATATTTAAAAGAATGAATCTCACTTTTGTTACTTCTTAGTTCCCATTGTGAGCGCAATGTGTGTGTTGGACTTCAGGTATGAATGGAATAATCAAATGGGACGAAATGGTAGTAGTTTTATTTTATGAATTTATGGTTGTCCCGCATAAATGGAAACCGATCGAAAACATGTATTTATACTTTTTATGCTCCAGATGGGAAGTAAAGACGGTGGTTGGGATGAAAAGTTTTGAACAATATTAGTACATGCATGTCTGATAGAGTATATATCTGGAGAGAAGTGAGAGCTAGAGAGAGAAGTGCAATATATGCTTCAAAGCCGATGAGTGTCCTGTGATATCAAGCTTTGCTGTGGCCGATGGTGCACCATGATGTCATGGACGTTGTGGTGCATGTCTGATGTTGTAGTTGTGGACTTGGTGTATTCTTGGATCTCTTTTGATTTCGCCTGTTATTCTTGAGGCCGGTGTAGTCCCCCAGTCTCCCACTGCTTCAGGCCGAAGAGTGTGAGGGGTGAAGGAGTAGGTCAAAACCTAGGCCGAGATGTGATCCTCATACTGCCCTTGAATCCAACACTTTGGCAATTTCCTGACCAAGGTAACCCTGTGGGAGAACCCTTGGACGCAGGTCGCTTTCAAAGGGTTATCATCAAGGGTCTAGTGCAAGGGCCGCATGACCGTTATGTTCGTTTCCTTTGGGGTATTGTGGCCGTTGTGAAACCTTCCTTTGCGTAATGCGTGGCCCTTTGAAAGGCCGATACGGGTGCTACCTGGGTAGCCGTAGGCTGTGTTGGCCGTTGAATGCCCTAGCCGTTATGGGTGTTGTCTTTTCCCTTCTTGATCCGTAGGGCCTGCTTCGGTGGTGGGCTGCTGATCTGTAGATAAAGTGGTGGCACCCTATTGGAGGCCGTTGGTGTGGCCACTGAGGTGCTGCCACGTGTAGTTACCGTTGGAAGTGTGGTCTATAAATACCCTCCTCCTTCCGAGGAGGGGAGTTCATTTGCATTCTGAGTAACGAAGTGCTGCCCAAATTCTTAGAGAGAGAGAGAGCTTTGCTGAGTGTTCTTCACCCCCTTCAAATCTTCAAGGTTAGTTCTTCAACCTGTTCTTCGATTTGCTACATATTTTGCTCTCCTAGGCCTCGATCTAGTGTTAGTCACAAAAACGCCTTAGATCTGAAATAGCTTGCCTTAGTGCCTTAGGAGTTGTTTAGGATGAAGTCTTTAAACGACAAGTATTACCCGTACGACGATGAGCCCTCTGTCAAGTCTCTTGACTACGCTGTGATTGAAGAGTGTGTCGAAGAGATCGAGTGCCTGAGCCCGTACAAGTCTGGGGGGCCTGCTGACGAGGAGGACGAGGACGAAAGGTCCACTTCGTCATCTGAGGGTGAGGACGTAAGGGGCCCCCGTGTGGTGGACGGGGCGTCCGCCTCTGCTATCCCATGCCAGAAGCCGGTATCCGCCGTCAAGGGCCTGCCACGACCGAAGAGGAACAGGAGGCCGAAGAATGGGCCAGGCTTCTCTCACCTGGACCTCACCAACATTTTCTTGATTAAGCCGGAGAGCAGTGCTGCCGATTACCTGGTCGCACAGATGTACGTGGGGCCATTCGGGAGGGTCAGGGCGCCGAGGCCGACATACCATGTTCTCAACCCGCCGCCGGGGTACTTCGGGGTCTACCCGATGAGTTTTTCTAAGGGGCTGAGATTTCCCCTTCATCCCTTCATTCAAGAATACGTGGACATGGTGGGGCTTCCACCGGCCTTACTGACCCCTAACAGTTACTCGCTGATGGTGGGTTTCATTCTTCGTTGTGCGGAGTTGGGCTACAGGCCGACAACGGCCCTCTTTATGAATCTTTACCAGATTGGCCGAGGAAGCCACAAAAATTGTGCCTGCTACGCCACCCTGCAGCAGCTGCCAAATAAGAGGACGTTCACGGATTTGCCTTCGTCCATACATGGCTGGAAGAGCAAATTTGTATTCGTGTCCCTGGGCGAAGATGGCATAGAGTTCCCCTCCGTCGGCCATGATGGAAGGTTTACCCTTCACGATCCTCCGAAGAGTTCCATTCTCGATGCTCAGGTGGCGGCCTTCTTGGA